ATACTGAATACCGTTATGATTTTATTTTCGTTTATTTTTAATAAACTATGAGAGTATGATATCATCATCACTACAGGTTGTCAGGTTCAGTTCAAAGTTTTAACTTTATGGAATATTGGAGTGGATAATCTTCCATATTGTGTTTGATGACAGGATTTTTTATCCTAAAACATGAAAATATCAAGGGTGGTAGCCTAGAAAATTTGTAATCTAATGATACAAGTTTCATAACGATTGCACAATTTTTACATTTTAAATCAATTTTTAAGCATAAAATTTTCGATAAATGCCGGGTGATTCCTCGTACTTAGTTAAACACTTAAACCCCGACCGTCTTCTATTGTACTACGGACTTAACAAATATAAAATATAAAAAATTGTCAGGACTGATCGCTCACAAAACGCCTAATCTAACTGCGGAGGTATCAAGTCGTTAGCGTTATTCTACGAWTTCTAATTAATTTATTAAAATGAAATTTAAATAACTGCCGGGTAGTACGTAATCTGTGAAACTCCAACCGTCCACTTGGTACACTCAATCACGTGAATAGCAACCGTAGYACCGTGCCACCATAGATAAAATGATTTGCCTAATAAATAACCACGGAAAAGATAACCCTATAATAAAAATKATTTGTAAGTAACAAAGTATAAATTTGTAATACAATGTCAATTTTATAGTCGTTTACTTAAATTAAAATAAWTTTTTTTTTTTAATGTATCCACTTCAATTTGGTTAGTATTTAACTGTTCGCATAAGATTTTTAATCGTTTTTTGACGGTTTTCGATTTGGAGCATTTTGTTTTGGACTCTCCTATGTTTTGCAGAAATTTTGGACGGTCTACCGACCATTCATTTTTTATTTTGGTTATTAACGTCCAAACCCATGGGTGTTTTCCTCCAACTAAATGGCAAAATCGATTGTTCCAAGATTCACAAACATTGTTGGTTCGGTGAACATTCCAGGGTGAACATCGCTGGAAAACGTCGAACGCTTAAACTTAGAGTGTTTTGTTTATTTATTCGACGTATTGTTCCACTCACGTAGGTTTCGTCAAAATATTGAAACAACTCCTCGGCACCAAGAGGAATAATTTATTTTAAATAGTCAACACCTTCTTATAACCTATTTATTGGCAAAAAAACCAAGTCATCTAACATACCACATWATTTATTTATTACTGCCTTTCGAAGTCTATTTTTATATTTTGCGGATCTGAAAAAAGATCGAGAAAAAGATAGTTCTTTTCTCAGACTGATAAAATAGCTTTGAACATTATTTCGTTAGTAGATTGATTTTTTTTTCAAGTAAACAGTAAAGAACAGTAAAAAATTTACTATATTTTTCAATTCGTATGATGTAGAGTTGCGAGAAATGTTTCGGGGCTAAACCAAAATTTCCATCTGCATACCAGGTATTTGCATATTATGTTAATAACTTCAAGTTGTTTAACGTACTAAAAATTATTACCCTCTCATTATTTTCACTGTGGTTATCAAATAGCACTGAACTGTATACTAGTATACAGTTCAGTGTCAAATAGTTAACATTTTTCATTTTCAAAACA